ATCTGAAGTACCTAAAACCATAACAAACAACTATAAGCACGAATCTTAGTGAGTTCCCCAAAGTACCACCACATAACAAAACCAACAATAGCACATATATAGAGCCTTCAGTATGATTGGACCGCCGCACCGAGCCTACAACCTATATGGACCACTCTAAGGGCCTTTGGACTTACTGGACCGCCTCGCAAGCCTTCATTTTATCTAGACCGCCCTGGATATCTTGGCCTTCAGCACAAATCAAGACTACCTCAACCCGGTATAGCATCACATATCAACAGATACCATAATAATAAATAGCTAGCATATACAGGTAGTCATACAGATCTAACATATCACTATAGCATAGCAACATCCTATATACCAGGATACAGATCTAACAGATCAGTACAGCATAGCAACATCCTATAAATTGGGATATAGATCTAACTCATCACTACTACATAAAAACATATAGTAAAACCAGGATATCAATCCAATGGGCTGTCCTTGGTGCCTTCGACCCGTAAGTACAGTGATGAAAACTCACCACACAATTTGAATGTAGTCTGAATAGCCCCTAGCTTCGACAACTGGCTCAACCCCAATCCTAAATGTCAAAACATTTCCCATTCTAAATTAACATTTCCCCAAAAATACCCTTGGTCAAAATTGGTCAAAATCAACAAGTCAACTGAGTCAAAATAGGCAAGTCAACCCAGTTGAGTCAACTCAGCAAAGTCAACTTAGGCTTCATACACAGGGCGAACTCCAGTGGTACGCGGGGTGTACAAGCTGTCTAAGGCATCGAGCCATATCTATGTACATGCAGTGTACCCTTCGGTACGCCCATCATACACAACAGCTCCCTTGTTAAACTGTTAAGAGCTTATTTCTTCGACTTAACACGTTCAATTGCAGATCCAAGGCTAAAATACCACCAAGAGTCATAAAGTTTCCAACTTTATGAATTTTCATGTCCATTAAGTGCTTAATACACAAAATCTCAACATTTGAATGCCTTAACACCTTCTATAGCATGCATGGGGGAAACTAATCACCAAGACCACATTTTTATGATTTAATACCCCTCATAAGGTCTGAAAGGAAGACTTATTTGGTCAAGAGCGTGCTATACTCAAGAATCACCATATTTGGGACCAAAAGTTCCCTAAATGAAGAAATTACTATATCTACAAGATAGAGTGATCAAGCAATGAGATTTTTACCTTTTGGAGTTAACTAACAAGTGAAGAATCCCATATCTAAGTTGCTTCCAAGCTTCAAGGTCCTTGCACCAACTTCTTCTTCTTCAATAACACTAATAAAGCACACAAGATGAGCTCAAAAGTACTCTTCTCACTTAGGGTTTCCTAGAGGGTCAAATTCTCAGTTGGAGGTTGCTGAGGGAATGATAAATGAGGCTATTATGGACCAAACCCTCAAAATTAGGGTTTGGAGTTTCTCTACATATGTCGTGCATATGCGGTGTACGTCCAACGTACTACGGTTCGCCCTAGTACGCTCAAGGCACACAATATTCGCACAACGTGTATATATATATATATATATATATATATATATATATATATATATATATATATATATATATATATATATATATATAGGTTAAACAATATTCCAATAAATACAATGATATAAGTTTTAAACTGGTTCAAACAATGGAATAATGCAAGAGTGAAAAAAGTCACTTTGTGTGATCTAAAAGGCCAATATTTTATGGACTGAACACCTTTAAGCCTAAGAAATACAATAAGGCCCACATAGATGGATTTTTTTTCTTTTTTTTTGTGGAGAAACTAGACACTAGAAGAGGAACTTCTTCTCTTATCTGAAAAGGAAGTCTGGAAGAGACTAGTAGTTCAGGTATTTACTAGATAGAACTCATACTTTTCATATAACACTCAAGTACTTGGTACTTAATGTTAATCTAATATTTGTAACTTGCTTGCAGATATGTACAAAACAGTAACTAGCTGAGCACAAGTAAGTTGAAACTTCACTCTCGGAGTATAGTTTCTTATTTATGTTTAGGACATAAATTACTTGTAATATAAAACAATGTAAGTTTTAAATTTAGCGTGTCCAAATATATGTCTCAATTATTTTAATTAAATATTTGATTATTTACTTGATCGTTTTTCATAACGATAATATTCATATTATGAAATGATTAACTTATATTTATGAGATTAGATCTCTTAATAAAATTATACAGTAAATATCAATATTTTACAAAAAATAAAATTAAGTTTTATACTCAAACACTTTTGATTTAAACTTGTTTTAAATCAAACTTATCTATAACATTGTTCTCTTTATTATATAAATGAAATACACAGATTTAAACTTCAAGAAGAGGATATTTGAAAGAAAATAATATAGTTTATTTGACATATGTGAATCTTATTTATATATAAAGGATTCCTAATCATATTTTTATTAATAATGTAGAAGAAAAAATTATTAAGGAAACTATACAATATAATGTATGAATTCCTTTCTAGTGAATGTCTAAGATTTAATGCAAGATACAAATCAACTTTTTTTAACAACTATAATAAATGTAATTATATTTTACATGGTAAGGCATAATTGTGAAATCTTAGTTGTAGCTTTTAAATATAAATTTGAGATACAATCCAGTTACACCATCTAAAGCTTTAAGTGGTAATAAAGGATGAATTAGACCTTACCAGATAAAGTTTACTTTCTACCTAGTAGAAATGATCTCCTTTTATGCTCTTGGGATTATACATTAATCACTATTAATTGTATCTTGAATACAAACACCAACAAAATACATATATGTAGAATATTCTAAAAGGGCATCTAGATTGGTATATAGAAACCCACAAAGAATAAGTTCTCTTATTCCTCTAAATGTTGAATATCCAGAAAGCAAGCTTCTAATGACAAAGCAAGTGGGAGGCACATGGAAATTGAAGTAGCTCAAGAACCAGTTGTACTTGAATAATAGTTATTCACAAACACAAACGGTTCGCATTAATGGTAGAAATCATATTTGACTTGAGAAATATGAAATCTCTCATTGGTGAGTGCATCTTGATAGTTTTTAGCAAATCCATCAACTACCAAGATGCTATATCAAATCTTAAATTTGATAAATGACTTAGAGTAATGAAAACTGAGATGTAATCCATGTGTAATAATCAAGTATGGGCTTGATTAATCTTCCTCTGTATAACAAGGCTAGAAGGAGTAAGATATGCTTTTAGAAAGAATACATGCATAGATATCGATACACATTATGCAAGACTTGTTATAAAAGATTTTTTTTCATACCCATATCATTGAATATGGTTCTCATCATACTCATGACATTAACTATGATCAAATCTTTTCACAAGTAACTTTGATTAGATTAACGAGGATATTATTTACTATAACTTCATATTCTTAGTATGAGATACAACAAATAGATTTCAAGAAAACTTGTTTTTCTTAATAGACATATACTAGAATACATCTATATAGCTTAGCCTGGAGGTTTTCTTAATCTTTGTTATCATCACAAAATGTGTAATGCTTAAGATCCACTTGCGGATATAAAACAAGCAACTCAAGTTTGAAATAGTCATTTTAATATGAAGATACAAGGTAGCTTTTATATCAAAATGAAAAGAACATGTGTGTTTGCTAAAAACTAGTAGGAGCATAGTGATATTCCTAATATTATGTGAATGAAACATACTTAATCATTTGAAATAACATTCAAACTATGTAATGTCGTTTCACCTTAACTTGGAAATTATTTCTAAAATGAAAGACTTAGGAATGACAAGATAAAAATGAATGTTAAAAGTTTTGAATTCTTTTGCATGAATTAACAATATCTTGAAAGATATCAAGATACACGATTCCTTTGGAGAATCCTTGATATTGTCACATGACACTTATTTTTGAGCTAGACTCAAAAGGACCTAACATATAGATTTGAACTAGAAGAAATGATTTATATTCTATTTGTTTGGAAAATTAATCAATCATTTGTATCATATTATGCACAAGACTAGGTATATCAAGAGATACAAATTGAATACATGGTTAAGTCATTGAATGACTTAACCATAACTGAAACACTAATTCTCCCAACAAAAAAAAAAAGCACCCCTTGGCCTCCCTCTCATTGTGATGAACGAATAAGAGCAAAGGAAGAACACCCAAGAACAACTTTCATTTGTTGGTGTCTAGCAAAATTATGTATTTGTTTGTATGGATATCGATAGTAGCAATCAATCGTGATTAAAGTCTCCAACATCAAAGGATCCTACATAGTATGTGTACATCCTAAACATCTTATGGTTAATGGTTATAAATTGTTTGACGTCAATGAACTTTTTCGAGTTTAGGTCCGGTTCGAGCATCCTGCCTTTGTATAGCTATTATACGTTGTATATAGCCTAGGGGACGTCTAGTACCGTTACCGTTCTTTTAACTTAAAAAATATAATAACATAGATAAATTATAATAAAATAAAAAGTTTATACAAACAAATAACTTGAGTTGCGGAAAACAAAAGCAAAAACAAAACTTAGAAATAATGATCAAAATTAAAATATGACCAAACTTATTTATCCAAAGTCTAAACAGAAGCAAATCACCAACTATATAAACCAAACTTGTAGCTTACTCAAAATAAAATAAACCAAAAATTCCATAAGTAACACAACATGATCTGAACTCCAAAACACTATTCATCAATCATATTGAGTACGTCCAGATCATTTTCTCGAGACAAATTGAACATCCTAGTAAAGGATGGTACTCTTTTACGGTCTTTTAATCAATCGCATATCGTAGTTCATCGTGCATCACCGTAAAAAGAATTCAATTTTTAAATCCTTTAAATTATCTTGTAAAGTCTCAAATCTTAAAATAATCCCTTGTACAAGAAGTTATTTCAAACACTTATATTCTTCGATTTTCGTCGTCATCATCATCATCTAACATGAAATCATCATACTGTAAGATCATATTCATGGCGAATTTGAATCAGAGGATCCAAAACTAGTATCCCTTCTGTACCTAAGTTGCAAAGAAACTTGCCGTTCGTATCTTAATTGTCGATAAAAGTTCTCAATAAACATCTCAGCTCTCTTATCCACATCATCTTCTTCAGGAAAGCTCATGGTTCTTTGTATATGAAAGCTTCTCGTCTTCTCCAACACCTTTCCATGAGAACAAGAACCAGAATCACGATGATTATCATTTTCTTGTTCTTCATCATCGGAGGATGACACTATTGCTGTCAACCCTAGTCGTTCCCCAAAGCTCAGCCGCCTGCGACTGCCTGAACGACCTATGAAAGAGGAGACAGCGCGCCACCGGTTTACATTTGAGTTCATAAGAAAAGTGACCTTCTTGACGACTGTTCTCAGCCTGCTTAACAACCTCCATCTGCTGTTGTCTTCTTCCATGTTTTCTGAGCGGTTTACAGAGATAATTAATTAGTTTTGATTATATATAGATGGGTGAAAACGAAATGGGGTAGCTGAAATATAAAGAAATCGATCATGTTGAGTTGAGTACCGGAGAATTTATATATAAGTAGATACGTCGAAATTGAAAGAATGAAGGGAGCGTGGAAGAAAGGAAAACCAGCTGGTGATGTATGGCAGCTTCTACTACAAAAGACGCGGATTCAAGCACGTTGTAAATTAACTAGGTTAAGTAATTAGAATATGCGGAGTACCCAATGTGTAGAGAATATGCATGGAGATTTAATAAAAAAAAAATATGTTAATTTCATAAATAACATAATTTTAGGTAAATAAAAATGATTTTAATATATGAAACCTATTGACTGATTATTTCAAAGAATGAAAATTACTTTCGTGGGGGGCAAGTTCGGAAAGGACGAGGTAGCATACAACAAATTTGACTTCCAAATAAATAAATAAATGAAATGGCATATCTTTTTCTTTATTTGCTCGAAATCTACCAAGAAGGAGAAGATGTCAAAGAGCAAGCAACGTAAACAGTTTGATATATTTTATGTTAGTTACACCATAGAGTTATCATTTTGGGAGTTCGTTAAGGTTATATGTAGGAATTTTGTGGATATATATCAATTAGTAAGTTATTTGGAAAATACAGAGAAAATGTAGTGTGTATGTTCTATATGCAATATACATTCATTTAGACCATTTATTAGTGTCAGAGAAAATTGGCCACCCTTTGTTCCCAAGTTCTCCATTTAAGGAGAGATACATTTTCAAGATGTTAAAGGAAAATTGTATTTCCGAGTTTCATTAATGGAAAAAAAAATGAGGGGAAGGAAAAGATTTTTGGAACCATATTTTCCTCCCAAATTGGGCGTATTTGGAAAGAAAATGATGGGAAATAAAATCTTTTAAGTTTTATTTTCTTTTTCCTATAACTCGGGAACACAAAATCTTAAAATTTTCATTTTATTTCTTTCAAACTCGGGAAGACGGGAACACAGAATAACTTTTTTTTTTCTTCGCCTCCCTTTCTTTCTACCAATATTTTCCTTCCATTTTCTTTATTGAATTAAAAAAAAAAAAAAACTCAAGAACATGGTGTTAGTACAACGCAAAGGTTACCCCCTTGCCTAGGGGATAGGATCTTCTCGACCACAATAGTAAACGAAAGGATTTGGGTAAAGACTTTCTTTGGATAGTAAATGAAAGGATTTGGGTAAAGGCTTTCAAGAGTCGCTTTTTATCGTTGGAAATGTTTTTTTCTAATAAAGTCTTTATGACTAGTTATAAATAAAGCCATTAATTGACATAGTTATTAGAGTGACCTTTTGAATATTTTTGTAAGGATATATAAAGCCATTTCAATTTCAGTTGTAGGGGTGTTTTGAAGATATTGAAAACCAAACTATTGTTCATTTTGAGTTGCTGCGACGATTCAAACATTGATCTCTATTAGGACTAGGGGTGAACATGGTGCGGTTTGGTGCGGTTTTTGGTCAAAACCAAATCGAAAACCGCAACTTCGGTTTTTTGAAATTTAGAAACCGCACCGTTCAGTTTTTATGTGGTTCCGTTTTTGTGGTTTTTATTGCGGTTTTTTGCGGTTCGGTTTTTTTTTTTTTTTTTTTTTTGTGGTTTTTTGTTAGTTTTTTTTTTTTTTTCATTTTGTTTTTTTTACTAAAACTCAAGTAACTCGGCGAGTTACTTTGATTCGGATGATGAGTGCTAATCATTTTTTGGAGATGAACCGATATCACCACCTCTTGGTTTGAAATCAAATTACATAACCATTCATCCAACATGTTTCTAATGGTTGAACATAATACGAATTTAATATAATATTTGTTTCACATGTACATGCAATAATATTAATGTATTCATAAAAATGATACTATCATCATTAGTATTTTTCACATTTAAATGTTAAAAAATGACATAAACATTATTTGTTATTGTAAATATCACTGACTGTATGTTTAAAAATATAGAATAATCATCTAATAGATAAGATAGATATTTATATTTATAGAAATTTTAATTGGCATAAGTTCTTGGTTCTTACAAATATCAACACTTAATATATATATATATATATATATATATATATATATATATATATATATATATATATATATATATATATGCGGTGCGGTGTTTTCTGCGGTTTTTGCGAGACTAGAAACCACACCACACCGAGTATTTTGGTTTTTGCAAAACTAAAACTGCACCATCATCATGCAGGATCTCACGAATCCTAGCATCCAACTCGTCTGTGCTCATCTGACCGATAACCTCATGTGGTGTTGATCCACCCTGATCGCCCTCTCCTGCTCCCGATCCTGATCCAGATCCGCTCCCAGCATGCCTCGTAACCACCATACTAAAAATACTACAAAACATCAGACGCTTCTCACTAACCCGAGAACCGACTCTCAACCCAGCCCTAGGGGTTGTGACTTCCTTGATATGCATATGGGTCCTATGCTTTCAGTAGTACGGGCCCATACTACCTTCCACGCCTACCCATATTTATATCAAATATCACCATAACACCCTAGTGATGAACAGGCATAACAAGCACTCAACCCACACTCCCAGAGGAACACTGTAAATCTCATACAGAAAGAAACCCTAGGCTAGCAGGCATCATAAATCAGGCAACTCTATCATGCAATTCCTGAAGATCCATAGCCTAGTACTAGCATGCTGTTCTATCATATCTCATAAACAAATAACTTGTATGGTATTTTGGGGTTACTTACTGGCTCCGGCTGATCATACCTCTGTGTCCTCCTTTACTCATTTTGAAAACCATTTTAAATTCTATTTTGAAAACTCTCCTTGATTTGAGAATGGATTCACACGAATGTTCCTCCAATTCACTCAAACCAAGGCTCTGATACCGACTTGTAACACTCTAAAAATTCCAACCAATTTAAACTTTTCAAAAACAACCCAGTTTCGTTAAGTTATTACAAAAAGGTTTTCAATACAATTATTATCAGAGTCTTCCCAGAACCATATCATACAACATAAACATGAGGAGCGGTACGATCACGCCTTTGCCCTGCCACGGTCTCCTGAAGTACCTGAAACATTTAAACATTTAAACCACAACTGTAAGCCCGAAAGCTTAGTGAGATACCCCCAAAATACCAACCACATATACCATACACATAACATGTCATTTCATAACAGAACACAGAACAACAATGCACTTCGGGTCTACTGTGTGACTGGTCCGCCGTACTGTGCCTTCAGTCCACCTGGTCCACCCTCCGAGTATAGCCATATACATAGAGTCTACAGTGTGATTGGTCTGCCCGCATCGGGCCTTCAATCCACCTGGTCCACTCTCTGAGTCTACAGTGTGACTGGTCCGCCCACATCGGGCCTTCAGTTGGCCTGGTCCACTCCCCGAGCCTCAGCACATCTGGTCCGCCCTTTTGGGGCCTACAGCCTATCCGGACCGCTCGTTGGGCCTTCGGGATAACCGGTCCGCCCTGGGTATGTTGGCCTACAGCACACAGTAGGACCCGCCTTAACCCAACCCCAGTCCAACAACCATGTGCACATAAACATACAATCATATAACAATTCACATCCAATCAAACCGATCTAGTAGATCACATAACATAGCACAGCCCTACCAGGATTCCGACCTAACCGGTCCCTAGCATAGCATCATACTATAAACCAGGATATCGACCCTACCAGGTCTCTAACATACACCATCCTAACTACAAGGATACAAACGTAACAAAGCAATAACATAAAAAAACAACTACCCGGACTTCCATCCAATAAAGGGCCGACCTTGGTGCATTAGACCCTATTGATATAGTGAGGATAACTCACCTCGCAACTGCTGACTAAAAAGATAAGATCACGCTACTCCAACCTCCAACACGAAATCCACCACTGATAATACCAAAATACTGAACTCAATAAATACCAATAATTACCAAAATAGCTGTGACATCCCCAATTTCACGGCCAGAAAAAACTGATTTGTTTATGCTTTTTTTATAAAATCAGAGTAAATCTTTTAAAGAAAACGGTTGCGGAATTTGTTCCCAAAAAAAATATGATAACCATTTATCAAAACATTTCTCAAAGAGAATGTATTTTCATTAAATAATAAAAACCTCGGGATGTCATGTTCCGATACAGACCAAAAGCATAAACAATATAAAATAGACCTTACAACAGTTATTTATAACTACTGATCTATAATCCAAAACCTCGCGTCAAGACCACCAACTTATACTCTTGTGGCATTACCTGTAATGCAAAGAAAACTGAGTGGGTCAAGCTTGGGAGCCTGGTGAGCATATAGGGTTTTCAAACCACAATAAATAATTTATTTAATTTCATCAACCAATAATAACCCAATTACCCATTCCCGTTATTCTCAATTTACATCCCTAAGACAACTAACACAAGGGACCTAGTCTAAGAATATTTCATCGGGGCGACAACACATGCTTCGGGGGTTCCTCAACAATATAAGCCAAATAAGGCAACCATGAGGGGGATGGAATACAGCGAATGAACACCCAAGTTCATTAACACCTACAGGTTATGAGCCTGCTAGCGTTCCATTGGACAGTCTAGAAAAGTCTGTGGTCATCATCTAAATTCCGCTAGATGACTGGATTACAATGACATCGAGGCCTCTCATCCTTTTAGCACAAGACAACTATCTACCCATGTTCTACCCAACATTTTATTAGATAAAAATATACATTTTTAGACATAGTTTAAAACCTGTATAGTACGTTCATTCAAAACACATTCCAGATAAAAGATGAGGCACATAAACATAACACATATTTCATAGAGAATAAATCATATCTATGAGATTAGAAGATAACATCGATACACTCACATAACACATACACTTAGTACATTCAAACAATACTTGTATTAAAATCGTGTTTATGAAAGGGACTATACACTCACTTGATCAG